TTAGGATCTTAAATAAGTCCCTAATAACTAAACATGTCAGTTCCTTCACATGTAAAGTGAGAACAATAATTTCTACCTTGCTGGGTTGTTTTAAGGACTAATGGCAAAAGACATGGCTCCTTCTTATCAGTGCATTAAATATCTGAAACCCTGCAGTCATGAGGTTGTGCAGTGAGGCACAATTCTTCATAGCGTGAAAACTTCTCTAAAGACCTAGTCTCTTACAGAATTAGTATTCATTCCAACATTTTCCCCAGATTAATCCTAGCATTTTTCTCAGTTTATGTTTCCAATTATTTAATAATCTCTAGCTGATTATATGAGATTTTCAGTATCTCATGCAATTAGTCCTTAACTTTTCTCTGCCTCAGTTTTCTTGTCTATAAAACAGAAATGATGATAATGCTACCTTCTGCAAGGGGGAATTAAGGTTGATATTTGCAAAGTGCTTAACACAGTGGTAAGTCATAATAAACATATGAATGTATAGCAAGTAAAAATAAAAACAAGGCTGCATGCAGTAACTCATGGCTTTAATCCTAGCACTTTGGGAGGCCGAGGCAGGGGGATCACCTGAGGTCAGGGGTTGGAGACCAGCCTGGCCAACATGGTGAAACCCTGTCTCTACTAAAATACAAAAAATTAGCCAAGCTTGGTGGTGCCTGCCTGTAATCCCAGCTACCTGGAGGCTGAGGCTACAGTGAGCTGAGATCGCACCACTGCACAAGAGAGAGACTCTTTCTCAAAAAAAGAAAAAGTGATAACAAAAACAAAATAACTTCATAGCAAAGTCATTGAAACATGAAATAGTATGATTAAAAATGGAAGAAATCCCAGAAGGTTCATCACCGGATAAAAACAACAGTACGTAATTATTTTCCTATCAGAAAGGTTGAGAGGCATTTGTGAAAATGGATAGTCCCGGAGTATTTTTGCACACAAAGAAATGACCGTGTTTGTTACTGGGCAGATAGCGTCCAACGTGATGTTGTGGTAGCTGGCCTCTAAGATGGCACCTGATGGCCCCTCGCCTCATGTCGGCTCCATCGTACCAGACTGGCTCTGTGTAACTAATGGCAGAGGGGTGATACGTTTCAAGGTAAGGTTATAAGAAGACACTCCTGCTCCCGCCTCAGTCATTCCCTGGTCCACTCTCTCAGTCTCTCTAGTCACTCACTCTGCAGAAACAAAGCAGTCTGGAAAAGCCCAGTCCTCTCATAAGGGTTCTGAGGATTTCGTCCAAAGGCCTAGGGGAACTGAGGACTCTTTCTAACAGCCACATGAGCTTGGAATCAAATCCTTTAACCTTAGGAAACCTTCGGAAGACTGCAGCCACGTGCATCAGCTTGTCTGCGACCTCATGAGACACTCCGAGCTGGAACCACTCAGATAAGCTGCTCCCAGGTGCCTGGCCCACAGAAAATGTATTAAATAAGAAAAAAAAAATTTTTTTTTGAGACAGAGTCTCACTCTGTTGCCCAGGCTGGAGTGCAATGGTGCAATCTCGGCTTACTGCAACCTCCGCCTCCCAGGTTCAAGTAATATTCCTGCCTCAACCTCCTGAGCAGCTGGGATTGCAGGCACGTACCACCACGCCTGGCTAATTTTTGTATTTTTAGTAAAGATGGGTTTTCACCGTGTTAGTCAGGCTGGTCTCAATCGCCTCAACCTCCCAAAGTGCTGGGATTACAGGTGTCAGCCACCGTGCCCAGCCAAAAGAAATCCGTTTTTTAAGATGCTAAGTTTGAGGGTCGTATTTTATGGGGCAGTAGATATGTAATCAAGAGTTAAGGGAAATTCCATGTGCTATTTTGCAGATTTTATGAAAAAATACATCTCCACATGGATGTCATTAATGTATAGTGTTTATTCTAAGAATTAGCAGATACTTTCACCTTCACTTTTCAGGACACTTTTCAAAAACTTTGTTTTACTACTTAACTGATCTCCCTCTTAACTGACTCAAAATTCTTCACGATCTGTGTGCTTCTTACTAACTTCCTATTCTACTCTCCCCCACCCTCTTTATTTTTCCCCCTTCCTCCATCCATGGTGACTTCTTTTATGTTTCTGGGACATGCCAAGCAAACTTCCATCTCAAGGCCTTAGTGTTGACGATTCTTCCTATCTTCGCTTCTCCTTCCCTGGATATCTGAATATCCATGTGGCTCACTTCCTTCTTCAAATGTTTGCTCAGAAGCCTCCTCATCAGTGAGGACAGTATTGAACACCTTCCTTAAAAAAGCAATACTACCCCTCACACTCATGACTCTCCCTATCCAGATTTATTGTCCTTTAACACGTGTACAGGTTGGGCACCTCTAATCCAAACACCCAAAATGCTCCAAAATCTAAAACTATTTGAGTGTTGACACAACGCCACACCTAGAAAATTTCACACCTGACTTCACTGGTGGATCACAGTCAAAACGCATTCAAAACTTTGGTTCACGTATAAAATTATCTAAAATAGTCAGTAAAATTACCTTCAGGATATGTGCATAAGTTGTATATGAAACACAAATGAATTTCGTGTTTAGACTTCGGTCTCATCCCCAAGAGATCTCATTATGTATATGCAAATATTCCAAAATCTGGGGGAAAGAAACCTGAAATTTGAAACATTTCCACTCCCAGGCATTGTGGATAAGGGATCCTCAACATGTAGTAATTTAATTTTTTTAGACGAAGTCTCACTCTGTTGCCAGGCTGTAGTGCAGTGGCACAATCTCGGCTCACTGCAACCTCCACCTCCCAGGTTCAAGCGATTCTCCTGCCTCAGCCTCCAGGGTAGCTGGGACTACAGGCACACACCACAGCATCCAGCTCATTTTTTATTTAGTAAGTAGAGACAGGGTTTCACCATGTTGAGCAGTGTAGTCGCAATCTCTTGACCTCATGATCCGCCTTCTTGACTTTGTGATCCACCCTTTTGACATCATGATCCACCTGCCTCAGCCTCCCAAAGTTCTGGCATTACAGGGAGCCACCCCGCCAGGCCAACCTGTAGTAAAGTTATTGCGTCTCTCTCCCCTCACTGAAATACCACCTCCATTAGGGTAGGAATTTTCATATCTTGAGTCACTTACGCACTTGATGCACTCAATAAATATTTGTTGATGTAAATCAATTGAAATATCAGCTTCATGAGGATGGGGATTTTCACCTCTTTAGTCACTTACACATTTGCTTGATATACCCTCATTACCTAGAACAATGCCTGACGCTTAGCAGGTACTCAGTAAATACTTGATGCAAGCTTATGAAGTGAGTTTAAATCAAGTGGCATTTTTAAAATACCAGTTTTCCTAGAGTAAGGATGACTGCCTATATTTAAGTTTCTTGACTCAGTAGGTTGTCAATAAACATGAACTATGATCTGAAATCAAACCTCAGTTTAAAAAGAAAAGTATGTGCTTGTATGAGTTACAAGAAAGGGCTAAGCGCAGGGGAACTGCTGAGGTTAACATGAACATTGTTCTGTGAACCTATGATTTAAATAAAATCTGTATCACCGTACTTTCCAAGAGCAATATATCTCATCATGGATGGACCTTAAAAAAATCTCTGATGTCCACAGGGTGCGGTGACTCATGCCTGTAATCCCAGCACTTTGGGAGGCCGAGGGGGGCAGATCACGAGGTGAAGAGATCGAGATCATCCTGGCCAACATGGTGAAATCCCATCTCTACTAAAAATACAAAAAAAAAAAAAAAAAAAAAAAAAAAAAAAAAAAAAAAATTAGCCTGGCATGGTGCTGGGTGCCTGTAGTCCCAGCTGCTCGGGAGGCTGCGGCAGGAGAATTGCTTGAATCCGGAAAACGGAAGTTGCAGTGAGCTGTGATAGGGCCACTGCACTCCAGCCTGGCGATAGAGCCAGACTCTGTCAAAACAAAACAAAACAAAACAAAACAAAAAAACCTCTAATGTCTTTCCTCTTAATAAGCAGAACATTATTTTTATTTTATGACCAATTTTGCATCAGAAAATATTGTAACTCACTGCATCTAGGCAAAAACTAAAGGCAAAAATCTGATAAATCTAAAAATCTACGAGGGTAGTGATAGGAATTTCAGAGACATGGAAGCCTTGTTCACAATAGATTATAATAGAAAGGCTCAGTAGAGCCAGCTTCATGAGCGTGTGACCCGTGCAGAAGTGGGTGCTTAGAGGGCCGATAGCTTGGGTTAATGCTCTGCTGTTGCCGTCTTGAAATTCTTAACAATTTATGAACACAGGAATTTCATTTTCAGTTTACACGGGGCCCTGCAAATCATGTACCTGGCTCTATCTTCCCTTGCAAATGGAGAAACAGGCTTCAAGACTTTTGAAACTGCCATAACAGATCCAAAAACTGTGTATGCTTTTCACGACTGTACAATGTTGTTGCTTATTTATAAACATCTGCTGAATGGATGCCTCTATGTATTGACCCACATCATTTCAGAAGCAGGTCTTGAACTTAGGGAACGTGGCAAGAAGGAACAAGGCAGGTTTTGGTAGCTCACAAGGCAGGCCAGGTGGCTTACACCTGTAATCCCAACACTTTGGGAGGCCAAGGCGGGCAGATCACGTGAGGCCTGGAGTTCAAGACTGGCCTGGGCAATATGGTAAGATCCCATCTCTACTAAAAATACAAAAATAGCCTGGCGTGGTGGCATGTGCCTGTAGTTCTAGCTATTCTAGAGGCTGAGGCAGGAGGATCACTTGAACCTGGGAAGTCGAGGCTGCAGTGAGCCCTGATCTCACCACACACACACAAAATAATGCCTCTTAGGGTTCTTTTTTTCTAATAGACAGATGTGAAACCTCGAAAGCACGTGCCTGACTCTTCCAAAAACAAGGGAAAAAAATGCAAAATACTCGCCCCAGCGAGAAGCTTCATAGCCTCGAGCTGAGCGGATTTTCAGGCGCAGCGCCCCGGGGATCTAACGCGGGGTCCGTCCCGGCACCCTGCACTCCACCGCAGCTTCTTCCGCCCCTCGAGTCCGGGAGGGGAGGAGCCGAGGAACCGAAACAGAAAACAGGCCGCGCGGGTGGCGGAGGAGCCGCGCACAGCGATGGAGCTGCGGGCGCTGCCGTGGCTGCTGGGGCTGCTGTGCTGGGGCGGCGGCGGCGACGCGGACTCCCGCGCCCCCTTCACCCCGACCTGGCCGCGGAGCCGCCGGCGAGAGGCCGCCGCCTTGCGGGTACTGAGCGCGCGCCTTCCGGGTCCGTCCCCGCGCCCCCACTTCCTGTCCCGGGTCCGGGCTGCGGAGGAGGGTTCCGGAGAGCCGACCCTGCCGCTGGGCACCCCGGATGCGCCGGGGGCCCCGAGCCGCGGGTGCAAGAGCCGGCTTCCGTGTCCCCTCTCCTCATGCCACGGCGCCGCTCCTTCTTTGCTAACCCAAAGATGAGATTTTCCAGAAAAGAGGTGTCGCCATGGATGTGGGGGGCGCACCCAAAGACATCAGGAGATACGTCCACAGTGTTCTTGGTGGGGAGAGGAGCCCTTTTTTAGCAGTCCCCTCGGTCGTCGCCACTGACTGCCAAAGCTCTAGGTCACGTTTATGAGAACCAGAAACAGGCTGCAGCCTGTTGGCGGAAGAAACCTGTCGTTTTCCTTCCCGAGGAGGGCGCTAGTGATCAGAAGTCAGAGACATCTCTAAGAGCCTGCCCTTAGCCCGCCCACAGATTCCTGATGGTCAATGATTCCCTCTCAACTACCGCATCGCCTTAAACGTTCTTCCTGCCTTGGAGACGCAGCTGGAGAAAAGAGTAACATATAATTTCCTTTTCATAGCGTGATGAGAACGTTTTTATAATAAATGCTTAGATTTGAGTCTAGCGTGAAAACGCTGTAAGGGACCAGTTCGCTGAGCACAAATCCTGATTTTCCTGAAACCAAGGCAAACGGCAAGGGATGCGGATTGGGTGTTTGCCTCGCTGTGTTCTGGAGATCTGATGCTATTTAACACATTTTTTAAATTCATGAAAGATGTCATGATCATGATTTGATTTATTAGAAAAGAAAATTCACTCCTTCTGCATCAAACGTGAGTCCGAGTTCGGTAATATTACCCAAGGAAGTGTATCTTTTCCCCTGGTGTTTGTTGGAATTTCTCACAGGATTTTACAGCTGTGCTCTTTTCTTCCCCTTTCTCTCCTGGAAATCTCCAGTGTTTGGGAAGGCCAGCTTTCCCTGATTCTGCCCGCTCGTAACGTTTTGTCCAAACCGAGATGTGTACTGTTATCTCCACTTTATTATGCTTGAGTTCAGTTCTAGCTTTCAAAACCAGAAGTCCTCTTACACTCTTTGAAGAAAAAAATTCTGGCCTGTATTCTACGGCTAGCCTGTACTTAGTTTCATTTTCCTGGTAAACCAAACCCCTTAGGGGAAAAGTCAGTCTCACCTTTACTGGAAACATATTCATTGGCTAAATAAATAAACACAGGCTCCTAAAAAAATCCTATTTCAGGACAAAGCTCAAAGGGCCAGACTTATAAATATATTTTTAACGTTTATTTAGATAATTTATAAATATATATTCTAAGTATATATATACAATTTATGTAGTGACTCATATTGGTCCTGTGAAGAGGCCATACCCAGAAGATGAATATCTAGAAAATATAACTTTTCTCAGGAGAAATACAAAGATCCAGGTTGAACAATGGAAGATTGGAAGTGGAGGAGAATAGAATTATGAAGACTCTTAGTACATTTCAAAAACTTTGGGTTAAGAAAAACCTAAAAAGTTGTCAAAACAATTGCTGCCAGTAGGAGTTTTCTTCATGAGGCGGATACCCACAAAGGTTTGAGGCTTCAAAGCACAGTTGCTAGAAACTGAACACCTGCTGGTGCTTAGCTGGACTTTATCTAAGAATGCTTTAAAACCGATTTTCTACATTAGTGGTCCCCAATATTTTTGGCACCACGGACCCATTCCATGGAAGACGATTTTCCCATGGACAATGGGGGTGGGGGGGAGTGGGGGGATGGACGGTTTTGGAAGGGAACTCTTCCACCTCAGATCATTAGACAATAGTTGGATTAGTTAGCTTGAGATTGCAGTTTATACTAGGGATAGAGAGCTGAACACAGGGAAAGGTGGAAGGGCCTTGGCTCCTTGGTAACCATGAAACTTCTTGTTGAAATCAAGTGAATTCATTGGTGAATTGATGATTCAGGGGTTTGCAGCTAAAGATCCAGTTAAGTTCGTGATTAATTAGTAATGTCTTTCATGGTCATGGGTTTAGAGAACGGTGATGGTTTTTCAAATTTGTTTTAATCTTAGGCTTAGTTCTGTAAGTTCCCTTGGAATGTACCTTAAATGAAAGTTAGGGTAGCCCTATGACTTTCCCGCAAACTATTATATTATTGCTCAGTGGATGTCTCACAGGATATCTGATGGGATGGCTTATGTCTGCTCCTTTACTCCTTTGGAAACTTCCAGCTCTCAGGAAGCTCTTAACTATTGAATTCGGCCTACTCTCCTTTGTGCCAAAACCTAGGTATGCCTTCTTATTTACTAATGCTCATTATTTTGCCATAGAACATTTGGTATTCTTATCCTTTTGGGAGGCGCAGACCAATATTGGATCCAATAAAAATTCCAATAAAAGTTGTTTTGATACTCTCACTTTAGAATAATACCTATGCCAAAGCACATGTGCTTTATTTATTTATTTATTTATTTATTTATTTATTTATTTATTTTCGGAGGCTCATTCTCTCACCAGGCTGGAGTGCAGTGGTGCAATCTCAGCTCACTGCAAGCTCCGCCTCCTGAGTTCAAGTGCTGTTCCTGCCTCACCCTCCCAAGTAGCTGGGACTACATGTGCGCACCACCACGCCCAGCAAATTTCTGTACTTTTAGTAGAGATGGGATTTCACCATGTTGGCCAGGAAGGTCTCGATTTCTTGACCTCTTGATCCACGCACCTGGGCCTCCCAAAGTGCTGGGATTACAGGCATGAGCCACCGCGCCTGGCTGCACATGTGATATTACATAAAATTTTAGAAGCTTCAGCTTAAGAGCACTTGCCATAATAATACAGGTTATATTCTTTTAAGATTATTTATATATTTAGAAATATTTATTTATGTACCAGTAGATGACTATAGTATTTTTGTAACAAGTGATGTTAACTAATGAGCCATTTATATATACTTGCCATAATCAGCCCCTTGAAATCTGGAATTAGGTCCTCCAAATAGACTTTCTCCAAGAAAGCTTTAAAACCCCTTTCCTTTCCTTCCCTTTCCTTTCCTTTCCCTCCCTCCCTCCTTCCTTCCTTCCTTCTTTCCTTTCCTTTACTTTCCTTTCTCTTTCCCTCTCTCCCTCCCTCCCTCCCTTCCTTCCTTCCTTCCTTCTTTCCTTCCTGCTTGCTTGCTTGCTTCTTGACAGAGTCTCGCTCTGTCGCCCAGGCTGGAGTGCAGTGGCGTGGTATCAGCTCACTGCAGCCTCTGCCTCCCGGGTTCAAGCAATTCTCCTGCCTCAACCTCCTGAGTAGCTGGGACTACAGGCTCATGCCACCTCGCCCTGCCAAGTTTTGTAATTTTAGTAGAGACAGGTTTCACCATGTTGGCCAGGATGGTCTCAGTCTCATGATCTGCCTGCTTCGGCCTCCCAAAGTGCTGGGATTACAGGTGTGAGGCACCGCACCCAGCCTAAAACCTATTTTAAACCTCAGTGGTCCCCAGACTTTTTGGCACCAGGGATTGGTTTCATGGAAGACAATTTTCCCACAGACTGAGGTGTGGGGTGGGCTAGAGAGGATGTGGATGATTTCAGGATGAAGCTGTTCCACCCTAGATCATCAAGGATTAGATTCACATAAGGACTGTGCAACCTAGAACCCTCTCATGCACAGTTCACAGTAGGGTGTGTGCTCCTATGATAATCCAGTGCTGCTGCTCATCTGACAGCAGGTGGTGCTCAGGTGATAATGCTCGCTCATGGCCCCTCACCACCTGCTCTGTGGCCCGGTCCTTAACAGGCCACAGACTGGTACTGGTCCATGGCCCAGCGGTTTGGTATGCCTGTTCTACCCTGCATAAAAATAAAGACATGAATTTGACGTTAGATAACGTTGTTCAGCAGACTTTTTCTGTTGATTCTCACTTAAAGCATACATTGACTAAATGGAAATATATCATAAACTTAAAATCATAGATCATAATTTATTCAGTCATTCGTTAATTCATCTTTCCATACATTCATCCAGTATTTTATTTAATTTCTACTGTGTCTAAGGAACTGGTCTGGGTTTTCTGAGGGATACAGTGGAGAATAAGATATGTGCTGTGCTCTAAGACATTTATTCAAAAAATGAATATTGTTATGTTTAAAGATTGTATTATAATCCATTTTCCTGTAAACAAAAAGAGAAATGTAAAGACTTATACACTAGAGAAACAGATTCTCCCAAGAAGACATTCACAAAGGAATGTAATTTTAATTTAATCTTTTTGTGTACATGCTCACACACATACTCCACATTTCTTATCACACATAGTAAACATATATCTGCATTATGTTTACATAGATTTCAGTACAGTGTATATAAAATACTTTGTCTAAGAAACTTTTCAAAAGTAGCAATTTATAAAAGTGTATCCTATAAAATGTTGTTATTATTCTAATCCAGGGCTTCTTAACAGTGGCACTGTTGGTGTTTGAGAATGGGTAGTGATTTGTTTGGGGCGAGGCCTTCCTCTTCGTTGTAGGGCATGCATGGGCTCTATGTTCTAGATACCAGTGGCATCCCACCAGTATGACAATCCCCAGTGTGGCAAATGACGAACAAAATTATCCTCAGTTGAGAATCACTAATCTAATGTTTACAGCTCCCAAGTCTTCCAAGAAATTCTCAGCAATGCTCTAATATCGTATACAAATATTTTACCTTTTTTGCTCATACTCAGGTTCACTGCCATTTCCAGAAATGAAAGCACTCTCAAGGAGAACATTTTAAATCTATGTGTACAATTTATGATTTATCCTATGAAACTTCAAAATCTGCAAATGAAAGTTGTTAGAAATCTGAGTAATGGAACTGCAAGACAATCAGTGAGTTTAAAGTGCTGAAGAGAAAGTGATCTTACAAAGTACCTTAGGCTTCTTTCGTAATTTCAATATAAAACTTATCCCATGGCTACATGCGAGTCATTGTAAAGGAATACACACATCTTTGCATATATTGA